AATTGCCCTATTAGTAGAGACGAAAAATTTCCTTACACAACACTTCGATATGAAGAACATTGGAGAAGCTTCATATGTGTTAGGCATCAACATAATAAGAAACAGGAGAGAGAAGACTATCCAACTTTCCCAAGCAACTTACTATAAGAGGATTCTGAAAAATTTTGATATGGGTATGTGTAAGCCCATGTCTACCCTAATTGACAAAAAGACGAAGCATAATAATAAGATGTGTCCTACCGAAGACATGGATATAAGAGTTATAGAGAGAGTATCATACAAGAGCACAATTGGGTTCTTTATGTATGCCATGACTAGAACAAGGCCTGACTTGTCATTCGTCATGAGTTTGGTGAGCCGTTTCCAAAGTAATCTAAGAGAGGAGTATTGGAAAGCTGTAAAAAGAATTCTCAAATATTTAAAGGGTACCATACACTATGTGCTCACATATAAAAGGGGAACTGAAATAGCAATAGAGGGATATTCAGATGCAAGCTATCTCGCAGATCCAGATGATGTGAAGTCTACATCTGGGTATGTGTTTATGCTTGAAGGGGGTGCGGTTTCTTAGAAGTTAAAGAAACAAGATATTGTAGCCTTGTCCACCATGTAATCCGAGTATGTGGCATGCAGTCTAGCAGCCAAGGAGGCCGTGTGGATTAAGAAGTTTCTTAATCAATTTAATTTTCATCTTGTACGTTGTGAGGCAATGCGAATTTTCTGTGACAACACTGCATTTATTTGTGTCTCTAAGGAGCCTCTGTTTCACAAGAACTCCAAGCATATTAAGCTTTATTTTTATCAGCTGAGAAATGAGGTAAGATTGAAAAAGATCGAGATTAGCAACATATCTACAGATTTGATGATTGCAGACCCTCTGACTAAGGGAGTTGTCCTTAATATTTTTATAAGACATGTGAAAGAGATGGGGATGAGAGAAAGTGAGGAAGAGAGAATGTAAGGCCTTCAAAAGCCAAGTGGGAGATGTTGGGTTTATGTGGCATTTAAAGGCCTTATGAGAGTGTGTTGAAATACTTTCATTATAGTGAAACATAAACTCAGTGGGAGTGTGGTTCCTCGAGGACCATACTAAGCAAATGAGGTTTGCTTATATCGGATTGTGCTTATCGATCTAGGCCAGACGGTTGGAAAACCCAAGGTACCAGGGCATAAATAATTAACCAATGAGGGTTTTGGGTTAGCACTTGATGAAGTGGAGCTTATGTCTAGAAGAGAGAGCCGAGGGACTGTGTGACTCTTGTATGTGATGGTAGGCCTATTGAGACGGGGGTAAAAAACGTCATTCATGTTCCATCACACGGCATGCATATTGATATATCATTCGGGAAAGCCAGATATCCACCTTTGGGTGAAGCGTATGTATGTGCGAGAGATACCCCTATGTGTCATATAGTTATGGTCGCATCAGGTCGTGGTGACCTTGACTCGTCTCTAGGAGAGGACCTGTAATCCACAAACTGGGATTGCAACCCCTTAAGTCATTGACCTATCTTTGATGACCCTCTAATGAGCCCCTGCTTAGATTGTGGGTCATGAGAAACACTGGGTCGGTTCGATAAAGCTAGTGTGGTCTGTAGTCCATAGTTGAAGGTGGAGTACCCCGTCATTACAGATTGGATTTCTAAAACCATATGGATACTTTTCCTAGCATATTAATTTAATTGTGTTCATTTTACTATTGAAATAATTTTAGTTTTATTA